TTAGAAAATGTGTTGGCAGCATATCACAATTAATAATCCATACTCATGTGCTACAGGCAGTCCAAAATTCCCCAGGCACATTTCTTACCCAAGCTTATAACCAGATTCAAATCAAATCCTACATTTGTGCCAAAAATTGAACAGTAGTCATCTCCCAGCAAATAATTTTACCTAACTGGCTCAAGAGTCTTAAATTCCTGATTCTTCCCAAAGTGAAATTCACATTAATCTCATACTAATGTATATATCCTTCAGTCACCTGCAAAAGAATCCCATAACCTTGCAGTAGGGATTGCACAGACAGTGGAAGCTGCTGTACCCACGTAGCATTACTGTAGGTTTTCCTGGCCATCTAGATTGTGTAAGATCCTTTAACATTTATGGGAACAAGTTTTCTCTCTAGGGTGATGTTAAATTTCTCTTTGAGGGTTTTTTCCACCTCTTCATCTTCAAGAGTTACAAATTCCACCAGATCCATGTTTTCCTTGTAGTTGTACGTGGTCTCAGTGAGTGTCCACCCAATCAGCGCTCGGAATCCGTCGGTGGTCTGGAGGGTGCAGATGGACTTCTTTGTGAAGAGGGAATCTGGAGAGGTCTGGAGGTATGTGCACTGGAAACGGAAATCTTCCACTGTCCGTGGCTCGAGGCTGAACATGTAAACTTTGCGACACTCCTTCTTCTCCAGCAGATCAGAGTTGGAGAAGCTCTGGTTGGGGATGTATTGTTTCCGTCTCATTTTCTCCAGGTACCAGACACCGTTTTTTTCCGTGAAGCGGAACACGCCGGGAGCCTGGGGCTGGTCTTTCCCTGACACAAGCTCCATGGGCTGCCACATCTGGTAGGACACCCCGAATCCTCCATCAACGATGTAGGCTTTGCCATCGACGACGACCTTCACCACGAGGTGGGTCATGAGGGTGGCGTAGGCGTTCTGGTGGGGGTTGAACACGTACGCTCCCAGGAAGCTGGTCTCATACCCCAGGCCCTTCAGCACCCAGCCCAGCAGCTGGTTGTTTTCCATGCACCAGCCACCCCGCTTCCTCCGCACAATCTTGTTGTAAACGTGCTCCAACTCCAAAGTAATTTTCTCCCCGCAGTGGATGCTGAGGTTTTCGAAGGGAACAGCACGGATGTGATGCTGGAATATATCTGTTAAGGTTTCCAAATCTTGTTTTTCAGTGGAGCCTTTATAGCCAGTTCTTGCAAAATACTCTTCAAGGTTCATCTCACCTGTAAAGGAAGGAATTGTGTTTTGGTTTCTTTACATCAGTGATTTATGATGCTGTGAAAAGCTGCCCTGGCTCTGCCAGTAAAGATTCTTTAATCTACTGAACCTCATCAGAACAGCATTTAAAGGAAACAAGCATTCCTATCAAATGGTTCCCTGAGCAAAGAGCAGTGCACATGAGGGTTTGCTTTTGTCTTAGAGTCATTCCTCTGGCAAACAGCTGATGCCATTTCAGTTTTATACGAGGAGACTGCAAGATGAGGATTTCCTGTATTTGTATTGCAACAGCGGGGTTAAGAAGAAGTGTAAGATCTTGCTGGGAGTGTGTACAAGGGTTCATGAGAAATGGTCTAAAGCCACTGCTCAGTGACAGGACTGTCACTGGGGGAAGCAGTGTCATCTGCCAGTGGGAGGGAGTACATTCTGAGCCAGGATTCACATGTTCTTTTCATGAGTCTGCCACTGATGGACATGACAGTAAATGAATCTCTCGTTCAGTACACTTTGCTCTTCCACCACTTACAAAAAGTTAACATGAAAAGTAAAGTGACAAGCTTTATTCAGATAATTATAGCTGAAAAAACTCTGATTTTTGAAAGAGTCACAGACCACTGAGTCTGCTGTAGAAACTCATTTCGGTGTTGGAACAATAGATCTGAATGGAGGGAAGTGGCCTAAAAGACAAGGAACACATCTCCATTCCCTCCTGTGCCCTGTGTCTCACAAGCCATCCTGAAAATGAACAGGGGCTGCTTTACTCTCTCTGGTCCTGAGCTTTCTCAGAACTCACCAATCCTTCAACTCAGCAGTGAACTGTTGAATGTTTACTGCAAACTAGAATTTCTCAAAATTATTCTCAGTGGCAGATTCATATTCATGGGGTGGAAGCAGTGTCCCAGGTGAACAGAGAGCACCATCAAAAATACACATTACCTTCTAGAGAGAGGAATTTAGCTTCCAGTGATATCTAAGTGTATTGTTGGAGTAAATGTTCAATGTAATAATATCTGTTAAGTGTAACATAAAAGTCATGGCACTTTTGATTTGCAGAATCTGAGAATATCTGATCCTGTCACTCTGACTGTGAATACTAAATTGATCACACCAGTATAAACAGGTGTGATCAGTACAAAGCTGGTTCTCAAGTTTGTATTATTTGTAATTTCTTTCTGCAGCTCCATAATATGCTTGATCAGCACTAGATATGGACTGCAGGAGATGAAAGCCACTGTTCTTTTGAAATGTAAGCAGACCAGATGAAAAGGCAGATACTGAAAAGGTCGTCCCACAAATGTGGTTATGATTTATGTAGAGAAAAACATCACCAGAAGAATATTAAAGGTGCAAATGAAGGTGTTCATACAAACCTATTTCTTACCAGAACTATACACAGTATCAGCAATTCTACTGTTGAAAATATGTTATCTTCTTTATCCTAATACATCAGCACATGGACTTCCTGAGTTGCACAACCCAGAGTCTGTAATTTTTTTAAAGTTGTTTTTAAAGAGCTGTAATTTTATTCCCTTAAAGCAGAATCTACTGATTATTAGACTGAACTTTTGCTTCCTTTGCACTTACAATACTTTTAAATAAATTTAAGTATCTAAAAGCATGACTTACAACAAGAAGTTGTAGTTCTAAATTTATATCTACTATTGTACCCAAACAAAAGAATCTATTTTATAGTGAATTGAAGCTTCTCCTGAAGAGTGAAAGGTAGAAGAATTGAAATTGCACATCACTGTTTTGCCCTCTTCAACAGCCCCTGTTTAGCAGGTGATATTTTAGCTCTATATCCACACATTTTTAGAACATTTTTCCTAGAGAATGTTGCTACGTTATTGTCCATGACCTTTACCATCATCAAGAAACCAGGGTTTTTGGATCTTTCTTTGGAGGGTTTTTTTAAGAAAATAAACTTACCTCTTATGAGATCCCTTTTTATTTATTGAGGTATTCAGTTTCTGGGGGGTTTATTACAGGGGCAGCAGTCAGTGAAGCCAGGAGTGGATACAGATTGTGAGGGTTGTCTTTCTAAGCTCTGCTGGTCCTCGCTCCTGAATCTTAAATTCCAAGAAAGGGCAGAGTCCACCCAAAAAGAATTCACATTTTTGGACTTCGCTGATCCGTGAGCAAATTAAACTTTGTTTCTTCCTATTAGTAGATGTTTATGCCTTCCCCTAGTCAAGACCAGAATGAACTCGTTTTCTATGTAAAATAATTACAGTAGGCAGTTGCAAATGGCGTTGTAACTTTTTGTAATTCAATATTGTTATTTTGCAAACCAGCGCTTTGCAGTGGAGGATGTTCATGTGTGCCATGATGGGTGCACTGAGGTGCCAAGGTGTTGCAGGCTGAGCTCCATGGGTGCAAAATGACCCTTCTTTGCCCACACAGGAACTGTTTCAAGCCGTTCAACTCCTCAGCTGTAGCAGGAGTTGTTGTGGGGCTGCCACATCTAACGAATGCCATGGCAAATATTTATTTGCATGAAGTAATGCATTTCTGCTTTAAAACCTGGCCTCCTGCATCCTCACAGTGTTGCAGTGCTGTGTTTATTTAATTCTCCCCCATCAAGCCTGTCTCCCCTTCATTGGATGGAGGTGGAATATCAGAGGAGGCCTCTGGGAAAGGCAAAGAGCTCATTAGACTGCACCTGGGGAAGCACCTGCCTTTTAGGCACATCAGGTGCCATGTAGGTCTGGGTGGTTGACTTAAACAAGAATCAAAGTTGACTAAAACAAGAATCAAAGTCTTTTCCTTGGCTGATGTTCTTCTGTCACTTTTTCATGGCACGTCCTGTACAGTACCACAGGTATCATCAGGGAAAAGGCTTCTGTGTTATGGATATCCTGCTGTGAAACCACACTGGTGGCACGTCCTCACTTCCCAGGGCTTTCTTTTGCATCCACACTTTTTAAGGTAGCTTTTGTGCAGAATACTGTTTGTAATAAATGTGAAGATTTTATCTAAATGCCATCATCTCCTCTTGACATCACGTGAAGGCGTGGTCCCGAAAGTTTAGATTGTACTTTGCAAAGATTGATCTTTTTTTCCAGTTTTGATACAAAAAGCCTGATATTTAAGAACTGTTGAATCATCTCATCTTCTACCAGTTTTATTTTGAATTCAGAGACACAGATAAATCAGACTCAGAAAAAGTGGGTACTCAAAATTAGAGAGATTTTGGGGATGTTTAGGTACCCTTGGATAAATATCTCACTTTAAGTCAATTTCTGAAAAGGGAACAGGACTTATATCTTTCAATTTTTTCATAAGCTAATCAGCACCTAATGGTGGCTTATTTGAGAAAGTCTTAACCTTTCTTTTTTTTCTACAGTATTTAAAAGCCTAATTCAGCTCAACTTTAGGACTCTTAAGGGAAGTGAATAATTTGTAAAAGTCACTGAGAAGCTTTGATATAATGCCAAAAAAGGTTAGATGTCTTTTGTGTAAAATGGTAACACAACCTCTCCTTCTGCATCATTTTGGTCTCACTTGCCTCAAAATATATCTGCAATAAAATGAGTTCTTGAGAAGGTGAACAAAAAGTTAAGGAGTTAAAAACCAACTTCCATATGAGCAAAACTGAGCTAGTAAGATGTCTTGGTTTCTAAAGAAGGAGAGGTTTAATAAAAATATGCAATTGATATCTGCAGTTAATTAGCAGTGTACTGGAATTTACCAAGCTTTGTGACTAGCTCGAGTTAAAAACTAGATTATTGTAATTAATGTTAATTTTAGATTTTTTCTCTTGGCTATTTAAAGATCCATCTAGCACAGTGTTACAGTTAGATCTTATCCACTAAATTAGGTGGCAAGCCACGAACATTTACTGGTACAAGTTTGTTCTCCAGTACTATACTGAATTTATCTTTCAGTGTCTTCTCAAGCTCTTCATCTGTAAGGGTTGTGATGTTCACCAGGTCCATGTCCTCCTTGTAGTTGTACTTCATGTCAGTGAGGGTCCATCCAACCAAGGCAAGGACCCCCTTGGTGGTTTGGAGAGTGCACATTGACTTCTTCCGAAGGATGTTATCTGGAGACACTTGGAGGTATGCATTTAGCTCCTGGAAGTCATCTATATGCCGTGGCTCGAGAGTAAATTTATGTATTTTTCGGATATTCCCCAGTTCTGGAGTATGAGGGAAGTCATTCTTGCTGTGCTCAGGAATATAATGCTTCCTTTTCACTTTCTCTAAGTACCAGGTGCCATTGTCTTCCGTGAGGCGGAAAATGCCAGGAGCCTGGGGTTGGTCCTTCCCAGAAATCAGCATCAGCGGCTGCCACATCTGGTAGGCACCACCAAACCCAGCATCTACAATGTAGGACTCCCCCTTGATCACCACCTTCAGCAGGATATGGTTTAGCTGAGCAGTGTATCCCTTCTCTGCTGGTTCATAGCTGTTTGCACCAAGAATACAGACATCATACCCTAATTCTTGCATGGCCCAGAAGAGGAGGTGGTTGGTTTCCAGGCACCATCCACCACGCTTCTTTCTCACAATCTTATTGTAAGTAGCCTGCAGATCCAGTTCAATGGGCTCCCCGCAGTGCATGCTGAGGTTCTCAAAAGGAATGGTCTGGATGTGATGCTGGAAGATGGCTGTCAGGGTTTGCAAGTCTGCCTCCTTATGGGGCTTGTTGTAAGATATTCTTCCAAAATACTCCTGAATGTTCATTTTGCCTGTGTGAGCAGAAAGTACAGTTACTGCTGTGCAGTTGACAAGGGGTTCACTTCTGTTTCTGTAGCAGAGGTTAACCAACCTGCAAATGTACTCTGGGCTGTTCTATTGAGGATTTAAAAGAATTTTAAGTATTTCTTTAAAAAGAGAGAGGGACAGGAGCAGGTAGCAATATAGCTTTCCCTCTCTCAGGGGCTGCCTTCAAACCAGGAGGATGTTTTTCCCATGGGAAGACACAGCACATGCCATAACAGAATCTCTGGCCACAGAGGAGGATCCCACATAACAAAATTTTTCAAATATCGAGAAACAATATGTTTGCAGAAAAGCTGCCACACCATGCCAGCATAAAAGTCACAGCAAGATCTTGCTGTTTCTTTTACTGTACCAGGTAAGCAATTCTTTCTTTATCCCACAGGTAATTTAACTGGAAGGTTTTGCATTCATGGATTCAGTTAACTGGGATTAACATCTCAGTGTGTCACCATTTCAAATAGGTTTCCATGTGAAGTAGATCATTGTTTTCTTAATCTCTTAAATTTCCCTGAGGAGTTTAGACAGGGCTTTGACTGTGAAAGAAAGGGACTTCAATTTTTCTAACCTAAGGATCAAAGGAATTGATCTAAAAGTACATAAAAGGCAAGTCATATTCTTTTTGTTTCTTTGACCATCTTTTACAAACTAAAGGCTTTAGTTTCAGATCAAATTATTGGAAATATTTTGTGATTTTCTGTCTGTATCTCTGATCCTATTTCATTAGCAGAAAGACACTCTCATTGGCACTGGTTGTGTGGCCAAGATACAAAAGGTTCCCTGTATGACTTCTAATTCAGTGACTCATCTCTCTGCAAGGATTTCTTTTGCCCTTAGTTTAGATTTAATTTGGCTTTTTTCCATGCAAGGATATTTGTTGTTCAGAACAATTCACAATCTGTTAATTTCCAGAAAGTCTGAGGATTTCTTGCTTCCTTTAACTGGTTGAATGTTTCCTGGGAGGATTTTCCAAAAATCCTTTGATGTGGATGAGATGGGACAAACTTCCTTCCACTGAATATTCTCAGCTTTGGTCCAGCAGTTTGACCCCATGTCCGTGCCAGAAGCTTGTGAAAATCCTACCTCAAGTCCATGGGTGGAAGTGCCCCCACCTGAGCAGATGAGCACATCCAATGGCCTAATCTCTAGACTTTAACCCCAATCTTGATGACAGCAGCACAGCTCACATGACTCGGTTGTATTGTTCCTGATCTGCACTAGTACCAACATTCAGACCAGATAATGCAAACCCACGGGAAAATTTGATAGACTAGAAGATCATCCCAGTAAGAGAATAAGAAATAAACATTATCACTTCAAAAGGAACCAAAGAGTCTACATGAAAAAACAGTAATGTCTCTTTGATACTGCATTTTATGATTTTTTTTCCATCCCTTTTTTAGGACAAGGGCCTCATCTCTGGCAGGATCTCCTTGGTAACACTTGCAGAAAGCCATTTCCCTCCCAACACACAGCACACGTGTTCACTGGCAGGCCCATCCTATGTCCCTCTGCCTCATTTTTCTTTCTACTCCCACTTTCAGCTATTTTACATAGGAAGATAGAAACATCTTTACCCCATGAGGGTGTGGAGCTGAACCTCTGTGACCAGCAGGAGCCCAGAGAAGTGCATCAGCCTGGTGGGTTTGACACGCTTGGAATTTGCCTTCAAGCAAAACCAGGTCAGTCCCTGCCCTGGGGCAGCAACAGAAGGCCTGATGCCCCCCTGTAACCCATCTCCTGGGTCTGGGTGTCCCCAGGGAATGGGGAAAGCACAGGATAAAACCAGCTCACTTCATCCTCCCCTTGGGGTGCTGCCAGTGAGGATTTGGGAAAATATATTGGGAAAGCCTTTTGGGAAATTCCCTGCCCATGCCTCAGTTTCCCCAGCTGCCCCTTCTCTGGCCTCATCAATTTAAAGTCAGCTTCAGAGGCAGCCTTGCGGTGGCTGACAACACATGCTCTGATCTCAATGAATACTTAAAGAGGTTTAAGTACAATAAAGCTGCACTACAACATCATTGACATTAGGGAGCATCCACATAAATCAGTGTTTACTCCCTCACTTTCCTGGAGGCAGATTTTTCCTTGGCACAGCCATTCCTGCTGTGTGAGCCATGAGGCTGCAGCAGTGAGCAAGCCCTCTCCCAGGGGACAATTTGCATTCCAAAACTGAGTTGCCAAATATCCCGAGCCTCAGTCCAGATCTCAGCCCTGTTTGCTTCTGTCCCTGCAGCAGCTGAGCTTTGCTCAGCATTCCTGCATCCTTGAGGGTAGTGAGATTCAGATGTTAGTTCTGCCTGTCTGCACATGTCCCTTGGGATCACTAGGTCCTTTTGTAATTAGGCTGAATATTAGGATCAGTTCTCTGCTGAGAATCAGGAGGGACTTCCAAGGCTGGATCCTCTTGCACATGCCTACACTGTTTGATTCCAAGTTATACTGTGAGTCAATAGCTGCATTATTCATACACTCAGGCTCAAAATAAAGGGTTAGTCTAACTCTCACACTCGATGTTGCACTTGGAAAATTCCCTTGCAATGTTCACTCACCATCAGCCCTGGGGTTCCTGTAGTTTGTGCTTTGCTAACACACATTCCTGCCCTCCCCACGCTGCATCTCTGGACAGAAGTCCCTATTTCAGTATTTAAAGGTGATTTTATACCTCTGGACTCGTTACCCAAGCAGCACAAGGTGCAGGAAACACCCTGACACAGGGAGAGAGGAGTGGGCACAGCCCTTTTGAGGTTTGTTCCCACAAAGGATGGAGATTCTTGGCTCTCTGTGGATCTTCTCCAGCTCCACAGCTTCACAAGACCTCCCTGGACTTCCTCCCCATCCCAATGCTTTGTCCCTGCTGTCCCACTGAGTTCAGCTCCTCCAGCTCTCTCACTAATTTGGGGCCACAGAAAAACACAGGTCATGAACAAGCCACATCCTGGGACAATTTCTTCTGATCGTTTGTGTTGCAAGCTGCTGGTCCACACCATAAGAAATCTCTCCTTCTTTTACAACCACATTTCCTTTTCTCATAGCATGGGAGAGCCTCATGAGCTATAAGGAACTCTTGCACTCCTGCAGCCAGCACATGTAAGTGAATATGACTCTGGGAAGACAGGGGCTTCAAGAGCTTGCTGTGTCTCTAAGAAATAGGTTTTGATGATGCAGAATAGCAGCTTTTATTAAACCTGAACTCCTAGTTCTAGAAAGCTGTACTTGCTGCATAACAAGTTTCGTGAGTTACTGTCTTTTTAGAAGCCTTAGCTGAAAAATTTTAGCACTTACAAATAACCAGGACAACTTCAGTAATTAATGATTTTTTTTTCTTTGGGAATACATGCTGTATTTTGGGGGGGGATATCTAAATAATTCCAGTTCACAGTGCTTGATTATTTTATTTAATTGTAAGCCATTAATTTGTTTAATTATAAGTGCATAGTTTTAATGCTTCCAAGATGTGTACATAAAGGAACATCAAGCATCTTCTCAAAGGGCAAAGGGGTCACATTTGAGTTGTTTCTCCTACTAGAAATCTTAGCCCTTAGGTACATGATTAAGATTCAGCATTTCTCCTTGTATCAATATAATTAGTATCACTGCAAACACATCCTCAGTAGAACGGATATGTTTCACAAAAAAGAATTCTGTGCATGTGTTTGGGTTCTGCTGTAATAATTAACGTGCAAGAGCACCCAGAGTAGAGTCTGAGGAGAGGAACAGTCTGCTGTGCAGTGGGAGCAAACAAAATGCTCAGGAGATGCTTTCAGTTCAAAGAAATGCTGCTCTTTGGTTATGTCACTGAGACAACAGGAGCTGTGCAAAGTCTGAAACAACACAGAATTGTCAATAACATTTCTTATCCTCAGTTCTGAGTCATAAACAACCTGTCCTCAAGTGGTCACATGGTGACTTTGCACAGGTGTGGGATGGCCTGAGTGCCATGTGAGAGGGTGTTGGGGATGTGAGAGCAAGGAGAACAGGCTTATGGCTTGACAGGAGGAACTCCGCACAGGATCTCTTTGTGGTTTTGGCTATTACACTCCCAAAATAATATAGTATTCATTTCAGAGGCAGGTATCATTTTCACAAGGTGGGAAAAGGCCTGGATATCTGCCTCTTATTACCTGCTCCAGGTACTAAAGACCAAGACATACAGCTCCATCATTCTGCCCAGCTACACTGGGTGTGTTCAGAAAAGCTTTTAAGAGATGAAAGGAGTAGGGAATGGGCTGAGTCTGCTTCCTGCTAAGCACAAACAGAAGGGTAACGATTTGATTGAGCTTGGCAGACATTAATTGTACCCAGCCTAAAAGAAATGCAGGAATAGTTGTGAAAATCCATTTGTTTTCCAGATTCTTGCTAGTATGTTCTGCCTTACACTGGTGTTGTTGGAAGGAGAAAGATTAACCTTTGGATACTTGTCAGAAAGAGAGGGAAGAATTGCCTGTAATGCCACTGAATTGAATTGTAAGCCAGGCACTGAGTTAGAACAACCTTTTATCAACGGGTACAAATTTCTTGTCTAATATAATAGTGAACTTCTCCTTCAGTGTTTTCTCTAATTCCTCATCTGCAAGGATTCTGATTTCCACAAGATCCATATTGTCCCTATAATTGTATTTTATCTCTGTGAGTTTCCACCCCACCAGTGCCCGGATGCCATCAGCAGTCTGCAGGCTGCAGATGGACTTTGTCACAAAGAGAGAGTCAGGTGCTGTCTGCAGGAGGGAATTGCAGCCCCTGAACTCCTCAATGTCTCGTGGCTGAAGGGTAAAGAGATAAACCCGACGGCAAACTTCATTTTCCACATTTGGGGAAGTCGAGGTGCTTGGGTTCAGAACCCACTGCTTCCTTTTCACTTTCTCCAGATACCAGGTCCCATTCTCCTCCTGAAAACGAAAGACCCCGGGAGTCTGAGGCTGATCTGTCCCTGAAATCAGCTCCATTGGCTGCCACAGCTGGTAGGCCATCCCAAATCCCCCATCCACAATGTAGGATTTGCCATCAAGGTCCACTCGTAGCAGCAGATGATCAATTTCTTCTGGGTAGGCATCAAACTCTGGGACATAAACTTTTGCTCCCAGAAGGGTGACGTTGTAGCCAAGAGTTTTCAGGACCCATGACAGTATGTTGTTGTTTTCCATGCACCAGCCCCCACGTTTCTTCTTCACTATCTTGTTGTAGGTGGCTTCCAGGTCCAGCTCAATTCTTTCTCCACAGTGGATGCTGAGGTTTTCAAAAGGAACAGCTTGGATGTGGTGCTGGAATATATCTGTCATGGTAGCCAGGTCTGGCTTGTTGTGGGAGCCCTGGTAAGAAATTCTGGCAAAATACTCCTTGATGTCCATGCTGCCTCTGAGAGAAGGGTGGGAAAAAATAATAGGCTGTGTCAGAAGTGGTGGAAGGCTCTTGCCCATCCCTTTTAATGGGGTGCTCAGAAGAAGAGCAGGATTTGACTAATATCTGTCTCAAAGGCAGCTGAGTAATAGTGCTGAGAGAAGCCAGTGGGACACTGCTGATGAGCACAAATGTTATTTTTATTTGCCTCTTTTACAGCTGTGACAAGAGGCTCCAGCTGTGCTAAGCATATTTCAGCAGAGTACCTGTCCAGCAAAGCTACAAATCTCTGTAGGAAGGAGCAAATGCAGTTGCAGCAATGTTTCCTTGCTAGAAATTATAGGAGCTGAGACTCTCCAGATCTGAACTGCTTTGCTCGTGGTTTCAGCAAAGCAGAACCAGAAAACAAACCCTCCCACTCTTGCAGTGGGATCCAGAGCCAGACACTGCTAAATTTCAGACATCTGTAAATATGGAGCAATGTTGTTCCCATTATTGACCCAAGGGGTCCAAAATGCTCTCAAGTTTCTGTATGCAACTCTCAAAGTAAAATTAAAAGAAAAATATCCAACTGTTCAACAGGATTATATTCCAAATCTGATGTTAAATGGTAAACCCAAAATTGTATGGGAATTTTGGAAAGGTACTTTCAGTACATAAACAAAACAAAGACAATGAAAAATTCCCATTTGGTGTAATATCCTGGCAGAAGCAGGGGTTGCCATGGTTAGGGTACCCACATAACCTTTAGGACAGAGGCTTTACAGAACTCTGACTGTTGATCATGGCCACCACTGTGTCTCAACATCAGAGCAGACCTGAGTGATCCACGAAGGGGTTAAGAGCATCAGAGTTAGGAGGTTCTCTTTGTTCAGCTTTTGGCTGTTCCCAGGATTTTCCCAGAACTACAGTTCCATTCATTTCTGAAGACTTGGCACAAGCTTAGATCTTGTTGTGTGAATTTTAAACCAGCATCCCAGTTAAAACAGTTTTTCCCCTTTTCTCCCTTCCTTTCCCTCCACCACAGCAAGCAGAACATGTGCAGTAACTTTTTACCCACAGGGAAAATGTTGGTGTGGGTTTGTCTGTCTGTCCATCTCTTGAGGCTGTTTTCAGGGCTGCTTTCATGGGGGTTGCTGACATGAGGCAGATGGCACAAATGCCCGAGTAGCTTGAGGCTCACAACTGAGTAAATAAAGCAGCATATCTACACCACCGAGCAGCTGAGCTCCCTGCTCTGCCCTTACACCATTTCTGCTGTGTTTTGTCCCCAGACAGGTTTCACTTCCTGCTTAGAGAGCACTCAGCTACCATGATCCAGGGGTTAAGAGAAAGGCTTACCTGGAAAATCAGTTCTAGTGCCAGTGTGCCTCCGGGCCTTGGGTGGTTCTAGGCTAAAGCCTGGAAGGTTCGTGGCTGTCCTCTGCTTAGCACAGGCAGGCAGGCAGGGCTGGAGGACTGCTCTCCAGCTGCTCTTCAGGGGAATGTCCTTTCCCTCAACTTGCTTTCACCCGCCTCTGTCAGATTGCAAAGGCTGAAAAAAAAAAAAAAGGCAAACCCAGAAGGGTGGAGCATGTGAGCTGGAGTGAGCCAGCAAAGCCAGCAGCGGTGTGAACCTGGCTGTTGTTAGAGCACAGGCTGCTTCACATTTTCAGTTGTTTGATTCTGTCTGCAGGGGCCTGCTCAGGCTGTCACCAAAATGGTTTTTTTTCAGTAGCTTGCTGGACGTGCTCAGGTGATGTTGTTTTTTACTCCCAGTCATCAGATTACTGTTTGTTTGGAAATGTGGGGCAGGAAAGCTTGCATGCATTCAGTCCAAAAAGGATTCTGCACTACTTCTGAAGAACACTAAGATTTCAGCACAGTAACCTGCACCTGCAACCTGCTTACCCCAGTCTGCAGCACAGGAACTTCACTGCTGCCTTTGCTTCCTTTGCTTTGTGTGATTTCCAGATGGTTTTTATTGCAACAAATTTCATAGAATGTACAAAAGCACTGAGCCAGCAGTGTGTGTGTCACCTTTGCTCTTTGCCCACAGGAATCACCTGCAGTTGTTGCTCATGTTGAAGATGCTCTTGGCACAGTGATGACTACAAAGTATTAACATATAGGGAGCTCCATCCTCTCAGAGCATGTCATATTGCTTTTCTATCTCCCAATTGTGATTGCATTTTGTCAAGTCTCATTCATTCCCTGACATCTGCAGCTGGATCTTCCCTGTTAGCTCCCCAGCAGTAGTTCCAGTCCTTCACACTTAGTGTCAATTCCAAGTTCCATTCAAACCCTGATTTATGGGGATAATTAGCAGAGCTAATAAATCAGATGAAACTAAGATGTCTGTGATAACCCATTACACAGCTCCACTCCCATATCCAAATGTGGCTCTTTATCATCCCATCAGTGGCCTGTCTGAGACCCCACAAGAGAGAACCCATGCCCAAGGCACAAGATGCTGAAGGTAAAGGAGAACCTGCCCTCCTCAGGCGCATCTGGGCAGATCCCAATCAGTCCAAAGAGAAAGTTCATATTCCTAAATGGATCTTGCTGATCTTCTCTCTCCACAGACCCTCATTTTGACAGGGAGAAGCCAAGAGTGAAGAAGGCAGATCCCAGTCCTGATGGAAACCATTCTGAAATTCCATGGACCCGTCCCTGCACAGCATGTGAGGAGACCCATCCATGCTCCTTGTCCAGTGTTTTTGGGACCAGAAAGGCTGCCAGAACTGAACCCTCACCACGTTCCCTTATGGGAACTGGCTCAGGGTCAGTTCCAGGGAAATTTGAGGTCCCTTTTTAAATACAGGTGTTTTCTGACCCACAAGGAGCAAAACCCATTTTCCCTGGTACTTTGATACTCAGGTTTCTCAACTTCTCTTCTCAAAACCTTTCTGCTATTGAGCATTTTCTTCCATGTCTTTCAAATTCTCATACCAGCTCACTCCATGGTCTTCCTTATGTAATTCCAGCTATGTGGCTACGTGTCTTTCTGGATTTGTATCCTCCACATCCACCATGTGCAGCTGGGTGTTGTCCATCCCACCGGCCAAAGGATGAGCCTGCAGCTCCAGAACCACTCTCCTTTTTCTTCAGGCACATTTTACAGCCAAGCCATTGAAACCACGAGCTCCCACCCTCCCCACGTGGGCCCAAGGCCAGCACAGGGCAAAGCTCAGTCAGGGAGTGCTGCAGGTAAGGCAGGGCTGCTCTTGAGAGTCTGCTCAGTGCCATGCCAGATCAGCAGGGCTAATTCCAGGTGGGGCAATAAACTGCAATCACAGCTGTGGGCAATGGCCACAATGTGCCCTCACCTGCCCCAGAGAGCCACAAAGGGCAGAGCCCAGCTGGGATGGGGGACAGGACCACAGGAATGTCCTTGGAAAGGACACTGCTGTGCACCTGGACACTGAAACACCATTTCCCAACCCTGGCAGGAGCTGGAGCTGGCTGAGGTTTTTCCAGAAGATCCTCAATTTAATGGCACTCACTTTTATATAAATTAAACTGCTGACAGCATTAAATTTAATACTGAAATCCTTCTCTCATCCAAACTCTCTTGAGAGGCCTCATCAAATATCCCTCCCTCCCTGCTTTAATGGAGCATTCAATGCTGCAACATTTGCTGGGGGAAATAAAAGCATTGGGTGCCCTATTTGAGGTAAAAGTCAAGTGTCTGCTCCCTTCTATATTCAGCTCTCTGGCACACTATATAAGAAATGAAAGTATTATATTTATTCTATTATTACAAGGATGCTTAATATACAAACTATGAATATATAAAGACAGACTCTTAAAATAATAAAACAGTTGTGGTGTTTCTAAATGGAATTAGTCTAACGTCTTAAACTACACAAGGTCAGATCCTACTGAGCTCTGAGTTCCTAGGAAATGAAACATTGCACACCCTGAGCCAAGTGTCTGGCTCTTGCCTTTCATTTCCAAAGGGAATTTCATAGATGCAGGCTGCCCTAATCCAAGGCTGGTAATAATATTCACAACTATAAACATATTTATAATGGCAGAACTCCCTCATGCTGCACATTCACTGTCTTCCTTATGTAGTTCCAGCTATCAAAGCTGTGGCTACGTGTCTTTCTGGGTTTGTATCATCAACATCCCCCATGTGGGTGTTGTCCATCCCACTGGCCAAAGGATGAGCCTGCAGCTCCAGCAGAAACTTTTGCCTATGGGAGTACAGAAGGAAGAAGCTGTGCTGGATATTTCTTGGATTTTTCTCTGTGAAGAAGAGACCAAACCTTGCTTTTAGTGTTTCCTCTATCTGATGCATCTTTCTGTGGGCTGGTGGGTGTCAAAAGTTATCTCCTCTGCTTATTTTATCCTGCCAAGATGAGTTTTTTTCACACAAGCCAACTCTGAGGGTGTTAATGCAGACTGAAGAGACCACGTTGGTCTGCAGATCCTTCCAGTTCTGAGGGTTTCAGCATGAATCTCTTACATGTAAATGGTCATAATTCAGTTAAATTCCATTATAAGGGGAACAACTGGCTTTTCTACATGAATGACTTTATCTCACGGGTTTTGAAGGGAAAACAGAACATTTTAATAACTGCTTTGATGGAAAATGTGCCCATACATCTGCCAGTTAGGAAGATGGAGAATTTTCTTCCATTTCACAAGCAATAATCACACCCCTAACATGCTGCTCCTGTGTCCATCTCATGGGCCACCTCTCCCAGAGATGCCAGCAGTGTTGTCAAATTCTGAACGTGCTGAGGAGAAAGTCCTGGAGATTGGAAAGCAGAGTCACTATTATTGTCCATCACTCATCAGTGCTGGCTGCTGGGTGATTGCAGGGCCATGCATTCTCCTGGGCAGGGACAGAAAGGCCTCATATGAAAATAGAAATGTTGTGGTTTGGTCTAGTCCAAAAGTCAACATAAGACATCATGTTCCAGTGAATTAGCTGATCATCTGCAAAAATTCCTGCTAAGCAAATACATGAAATAGCCTGTTACCTGGGCACACATCATTGCAAACATTTTGGTACAAGCTGCCTGACAAAGAGAGTTTGCAAGTCAACAGTGTCTGTCACTGCCAGGCCCAGGAATGGCTGGCTATTCCAACCTGTGCACACCATGCAAAAAAATACTGTTTCAATATTTTTTAAGAGGAAATTATTCTCCAATAATGAAAAGGTGAAATGATCAAAGGAGAGTTACATGTGTATGAAAACAAGGGGGAGATAAGAGTTTGCTCAGCCTCTGAAATTCCTTTGGTGAGATAGATATATATAGATATATATAGAAACATATAGATAGATATAGAAAGATATTGATAGATATAGATTATATAGATTGTATAGATATTGGTATATATAGATATAGATTATATAGATATAGATTATATAGATGTAGTTATATATATAGATGATATAGATAGCTAGATATAGATATAGCTATAGATGTATAGATAGATAGATAGATAGATAGATAGATAGATAGATAGATATTACATAATTTTTTAAACCTCTAAAGAAAAAAAACCTTAATTTTGTGCATAAATATGCCCAAATGCAGCAGCAGTCACCATTAATAAGCCATGAAACTACCAAGCCCATCCTCAGCAGGGTTAAATTGTCCTCATTCCACCACAGCCATGTGGCAATGTTTCCACTCACCTGGCTTTGGGTCTGCTCTTCAAAAAAGTCCTCTAAAACCAAACTGCTGTTTCAGTGCAAAACCCCTCCTGGGCTTCAGTGGGAATCTGGATCAGTCATAGTTCAGGCAATCAGCCTGGAAGCATGCAAAGCAGGAACAATTACACGAGTTCTGTCATTCCCATTACTCAGACTTTATTTTTTTGTTTTTTGAGGTAGTTGAGAAGGAAACCTTTTATCTCAGTGAAGAGTGTTATAGTGACAGCAAAGGGGAAAAAAGCAACTGTGCCTTTGGAAAACACATTTTCATTACAATGTACTAACACACATCACAGAAATAATATATGTTTGTGATGACAAAGTATTCCCATCACTCCACTGCCAAATCTGGTGTACAAGTAGGGAAAAGAAAGGAGAGATGCTCTAGATTAAAAATGCTCTCCCAGACTTACCTTTAGTGGGATTTTCCTGGCTTTCTGCCCTGCAATGTGCTCGGGGGGACACACTGGTGTGACTTCCAAGTGGGAGGGGCTGAAAGCTGGGAAGCAGATTTCAGATGTGGTCAGTGCAGGGAGTCATATTCTGGAGTGCAGAGTGGGGAAAGAAATTCCATGTAAATTTTCATAGCTGCTGGGATCTAAAATCACATCCACTTCTGCCCTGGTTGCTGAGTGAATCTTGTAAAAAAATAAAAATTCATGTTGCTGAATCTAGTCAGAAATCCAGCATCCAGGAATCCAGCTATGCCAAGAATCATCCCCTTCCCAAAAAAAAATCTCCACATCTGCTGTGATGACCCACACATTACCCATAATAATATCACCTTTTTTTTTTCTAGCAAGGAGCAATTTGATCCTTGATCATACAAACTGCTGAATGGCCTTTGCTGTGAGATGATGAACCTGATTAATTTGACATCATCCCTGGGCATTTTCATCCCATAAGGTAAAAGACAGCTAATTTCCTTGCATTTCCTTTTCCTCATCACACCATTGCTAATTGATGCTACACCCAGGGCAGAGTCTCCTCACAGGCAGATGCTGAGGATTCTGTCATGATGGAAGATTGTCATCTGCCTTCCAAACCCTTATTTAAAAGGAGCTGTGCTGTGAAATTCTGGTCAAATAGTCCTTGAAAAGTAACCACCTGCTTTTTAAGCATCTGGAGGCACATCTCTTCTGCTCCTCTATTTAAAATAAATAGAGCTGTCATGGAGAAAAGCCTGTGGTTCAGCCACGTCCCCCTGAGACCAAACCAAGCACTAGATTTGTCAATTCACACTAATGCTGTTTTTAATTGCTTTCTCAGCAGTTGTGCTGGGACCTGCCCAGCGCCAGGCGCTGCACCTTGTGTTGCAGTGCAGCCCCTGCCACCCCCTGGGCCACACAAACACACTCAAACATGATGTTGACAAATCCATTTTTGTCTCTGGGGCTGGAGGCTGAGACCCTGAACCCGGGGTGGTGATGGAATAAAGAGCCTCCAGCCCAGGATAGCTTTCTGCTGAAATATCCGAGCTGTGCAAACCCTTTGGGAAATTTCCAAGATGCAGCAGCCAGCAGGGCCAGCAAAGCAGCTGCAATGTCCTTTTTCCTCATTTTCCAGCTTCCATCAGTGGCACCATGTGCTCCCCAGCTCTGCAGGGAAGATGGGGTGAGCAGGTCTGTAAATCCTTCAGCAAGGGAAACCCTTCCCCTTCATCCCCATGAAAGCACTAAGCCACCTCACCAAATCATCTGTCTTTTGCCAGGTCCTTACACAATTTGCAATTATTCCTCCAATTCCTGTCTATGTCAGCATAGCTAATGACTTTCCAGACAGAATTGTATCAAAATCTTTACTGAAATTCAGCGCCTGAAGTCCCATGACACATTTCTTCCTCCTAGAAAATCTCATACCTAATCATAGAAGCCCAGTAGTTAATTTGTGCTACCATTTTTAATAAACTCCCATTCTGTGGCTATTGCTCACAACAGTCAGAGGCAGCCACAGCACCTGATGTGCCTGAATCTGTCTCTCCCCTTATGCATCTATCTGAGGGATATACTCCAGAGGCATCCAGAATCAGACAGTGAGAATGTATATTCTGCTTTCAGCTAATAATTGAGAGACTAAACCTGCCTGGCTGCTGGGGACTCAAGGGAAGGGCTTGGAAATTGGCTGAGAGCTTCCTTCTCAACTTTTGTCAAAGCAGCTCCTGAATGTTTCATCATATGAAAATTTGCCTGCATATTTATGTGGCCACAAAGATTCCTGGGTTAAAGCTGCAAAATCAATTCACCCACTGCATCAGTTTTCCATGCCCACTGTAACTCCAGCTGACCTACCTGCTGGGATTTCATCACTCTGCACAATGCAGACATAAACAGGCAATGTCCTGCCCCATCCTCCTTGGAGAAAGAGTTCCTCTTAATCCTTTGCTCATTAATGCACCATTCATGAGGTTCAGCCCCAGCAGGGTGCTTGGGTAGGACAGCAGAACTGGAATCCAGCCTGGCCAAGTGGGCATGACTGTGGCCAGACTGCCTGGCTGATACAACCAAAAGAAAAACCCTTTTTGTTTGAACTGCCATCAGTCAGTCAGTAACCCGGAGTGGAGAACACTCAATCAACACCACAAAACCAGTCAGTTCCTTCTGCTGCCAGGCACAAACCCAAATCCCTCTTTGGTTCAAGAGGCAAACCTGAACTGTAGCTCTGCTGCCCAGCTGGCATTCCCTCTTTATTTGCCTTTTCCCTGTGTCTGTCTGGCACTGAGGCAGAGCTGCTGCCACACCACAAATTCCAGCCACGGAACAGGGTTCATTTTGCTTTCCCCTCCCTGGGGACTAGCTCACACTTTCAAAGCTGCACATCATTTTATTAGTTCTATTCCCAGTCTCCAAAACGTCAAGTTTCTTTTATATGAATGTGCTGCAATTTAGTACCATCAGCAAACTCTGCTGAAACAGGGAGAAATGCAGAGCCAGGAAAGATCCCTGCAGAAATCATCTCCCAGCCCTTCCACAGCTGCAGCACTGTGCTCTCTGTCAGCCCTGCAGCACTTTAATTCACATCATCTGCCCTCACTCCTAGCCCACCTCTTTCTCTGCCTTCTGATTTTTTGTGCTAAGTGCTTAAAATGCTGATTTTTTTTAATGAATGTTTATTGTTTCCACTGGTAACACCTTTGTGAAACATTAGTGATCACTAGATGTCACTGTGATTTTATCCTGTCTCCAGTCCAGCCCTAGTGAACTTTTGTGATCCCTGGGCTCTAGAGAGCTTGCTTTAAAATCCTGCTGGAGAATTTTTTAGTGATCAGAAAATTACCCAGCTGCCACCTGACAGAGGGTTTCCTGGGCTGGGAGGGGACAACCAGCTTTGGCTGAGCTTTTGGGGCAGTTTTTTGAGTTTTTTGTTGGCTCTGGTGTGTGAATAACACAAAACCAGGCAACTTTGGGGCCAAGCATTCACACATGTGTGTGTGCATGTGTCATGCATGGCTGCACTCACACTTTCTGCTCAACACCTGAAAGTCCTGTTAATTTTGTGTGAGTTATTGAATCCCTGCAGAGCTCTGGCTGTGTGTGGGTCACTGGGGCTGGGACATTTGTAAGGCTCTTCTGCAGATTCCCTGTAGCATTAATGACAAAATGCCCTTAAAATTTTGGTGTTTTTTGTTAATAATCACCTCACTTCTCTCTCAAACACAGAGCCCAGGTTCTCTCACCATCATCTAAGCACTCCCATTTCCTTTCTTTCCATCCTATCATCCCATTCCTACTGTAACTTCAGTTAAAACCACTGCTTTTAGAACTCAGAAAACTCTATAGAAGCATCTTGCCTCTTTCCCTTATCTTAAAAGATGCTACAGAATACATTTCTTCAAGGCCAATGCAAATCCACACTCCCTATTTCCTGAATTGTTGATTTCTCCATTGTACTCAGCCCTTGGGATGTGGCAATTTAAATATTATAGACCACACTCCTGCATGGGCACACATGGGATTTTAGTCTTTTTTTTTTTAATTGGAAAAAAATCCACCATTAAAATTAGTGAAAATGCCTGCTTCAAAATCATTTTTCCCCATCTGATGACATTATCCAGATCAGCAGAATAAGGCTTCACTCTGCACTCCAGTCCCACTAGGGAATATGCCAAAATCAGACCTTTCAAGGAAAATCAGCTCCCGGGTGTGCAGCACTGGCAGCTGAGCCCGAGGAACCAAAGCTCTTTGCTGGCATCTTTTGGTGAGCAGGGAGAAAGGACCAAGGGCCAGGGGGTGTCCATGTCCCTGCAGTGCAGGGGACAGAGGGGCAGGGCCTGGACACCTCCAGGAGAGCTTCAGAGCCAGGAAAATGAATTTTCTGTGAAGTTACAGGGAGTCAGGATGGTGTGAGAGCTGCTGGGGGGATGTGTGCTGGGTACAAACCAGCTGAGATTTCTGAAGCACTTCCTGCCCTTTGAACTCATCCACGTTGGCTTTGTCACCTTCTGCCAGGGTGACAACAGGATTTTAAAGGCTCCTGGGTGCTGCCAGGGTGGGCTGCCTGGGCAGGGGGAAATGCCACAAATAAAGACACCTTCTGGCTTGCTACTTTCACCCAAATTCCGTGGCCTGCCCACCTCCAGTAACCCCAGCACCTTGGCTGCTCTGATACACCTGGTACCAACACCACCTCCGTCCTGGTGAGCCATTCAGGACTCATTAAAGAAAGCCTAAATGAGCAATAATGCTTCTGGACCAGCATTTTATTTTTCTCTGGAGCCACCAGAGGAGATTTGTCAAACCCCTTTTGTCTTCTGTGTCAGCCACAGCCTAAAGAGTCCTAAATTTCCTTTGGATTCTGTTATTTAGTTGGAAGTGACACAGTCCACTCTTTACAAACTCTCCTTCACCCAACAGCACACAACCACATTTTGATGAGTAGCAGCAACAGACATATTCAAAGGTAAAGAGACTATTAAAAGTTTTGCCGCTGAATTTAGGCAAACATTACAATTTTGCTGCTTAATTCACTCTGACTGGCACTTTATGCAAGAGTCCTTGAATGAAATTATAGTACCCATAAACAGATCTCACTTACCAATATTACTTGAAGCGTTGTTATTTACATTACAACCACATTTCTGTTAGATTAGTGCCCAACAGAGAGAAGAAATTGTTAATTGGAGGCTCATTAGTCCTGGGAAAAAGTGGATATAGAGTCACTGGTGGTTTTCCTGGGGCAGGAGGAGTGGGTTTGGGGGATGTTGGGTGCAGCATCTGGGCTTTGCACACAACTCTTGTCACACTCAGGGTCCTGAGGGTTGATATCTGAGGTGGGCACATGAAATCATGCCAGCTCTCATGTGGTCCCTCTGCCAGGAGCAGCACTGGAAGGTCTTTCCTGGAGGTAAATGGTAAAAAATGTAAGGAAGGAGAGAGAAAACAAATGTCCAAAGCAAGTAAGTAATGAAAATAACATCTTTCATGTATACAGCAGGCTCCTCTTAAGGAATTACATGCACTTTCTTACTCATGTTGAAGGACCACAGATTTACCTGGAACCTGATTGTGCATACATAAAATGCATTGAAACAGTTCAATTACAGGTGTGACAACTTGAAGCCCCATTTAAATACAGGCAGCTCCCTAAACATAGAATGTCTCTCCAGGTCACTGACTTACTTCAACATAATTCTATTCAATCAGGAACCCTTTCAACAAAAGCCAGCACAAACCACTCTCAGTCCAAAGTGAGGGATTGCATATTAAGAGTTAGCACACATTTCATTTCATCAGTTGGAAAACAGATTAATATTGCATGGAAAACAGCTCAAAACAAGACTGAAGTTATGTAGAACACCCTTACATAAACATTGCTGTAAATCATATTTTTGAACAGATTTAATCTTTGTTTACCCAAAAATACCCCAGAAGACTAACTTGAACAACACAGGGCTATGAATTCATAGCAGAGATTAGTTAAAGCAGATGGTGAGCCTGTGTGGATGTGCTCCATCAGAGAAAACATGGTCATAATTGGATTTATTTTAATTCACTTACGTTTTGACTACAGGAGAAATGCAGGTAGAGTTCTTCCTGCAGACAAGCCCCGAGCTTAGGACTTCCAGGGAGCCTTGCCTTCAACTCCATTTTGAGAATTGGACTTCAATGCAAAAATAGCATTAGGTGTTTATAAACAGAAGTGAATCCTCAGTCTCGAAACGTTCATTCATGGTCAGACCTTGCCTCCATAGTTCACTCTGACTGGCACTTCATGCACGTGGCCTTGAGTGAAGTAAGAGATCTACTAACAGACCTGACTTACTGAAGTGCCCTGTGCAGCCCAGGCTCACCTGCACTGGGTGCAGCTCTCACCTGGGGAGCAGCAGAGGAGGAGACAAGTTCCTGTATTCCCACGTAGCTTACCTGCTGCCTGAATGGTACCCAATCATCATTTTTAACCTGGGTTCCTGTTTCCTCCTGGAAGGGTGCTGGTGGTCTGAGCCCTGGCTGCTCTGAGGATTCGTGCTGTGGTTGGAAGCACTGCAGCACAAAAGGGGAAGGGGTTCATTTCTCTCTGTACTGAGCTGTAATGGGTGTAAATATATCCAGTAATTACAGGCATATTGCTGTGCAAACACATCATAATTGCAGCTCTCATTTCCTGATGAATTATACATGATGGGCCACCCCCATTCCTAGCTGGACACGTGCTGTGTTGACTGGCCATGCTGAAACCTATCAACTGCACCATCATCAGCCTCAGTTTCCCTTATAATTTCTCTCTTTCAAACTTCCCCAGCAAGCCATGAGTGCAGGACACGTGCCCAGCTGCCCCCAGCACCCCCAGCCAGGCCAGCTGGATTACCAGGGGAGGTGTGGGACTGCAGGGGCACATGGTGCTTGGGAAGGTATGAACTGCCTGGCCATGCACCTCTGGTATTTTTTATTTCATTGAAACTGGGTCTCTGTGTGTGTGCTGATTCTGTAGCTGGATCTGAGGAGTCCTGGCTGGGTGAGGGGTGCCCAGCTCATGCCAGGCTGTGGCTGCCTGAGAGAGCACACCAGCAGAAACACAGCTCTGCCACACATGCCAGCCTTGTCCCTGGCTCAGGCACTCTGAAATTACTGCTGATTTGCTCGAGCACAACCCAAATACAATTTCACTCATTCATCAGGAAATCAAAGCCTGTTTCCCCATTCCAGGCAGAGAGCAATGGGAAAAGACCAAGCTGTGCTCAGCCTTAATGAGGGCAACCCTTCCCCGAGGCTGCCCTGGGGGAAGCAGCTGCCACAGCCCTCCAGCACACAGGTGTTGCTTCCCTTCTGCAGTGGTTTCTTTCAAACCTCTCCTCAGCCACACTTACCCACAACTGCTGATGCACTCTGGCAGGAGCCTGTTCTTGCAGGCTGCCCAAACTACGTGTCCAAGCTCAAATCACATCCATGTTCCTTGTCTAAGTAGCAGCTTTACTTGGGGTGGAAGCAGCCTGTGTTCTCCCACCCACCCAAAACCTTCCAGCTTCACTCAGTGTTTCCTTTTGGATTTGCTAATTAACACATAGTGCCACGTTGTGTTCCTTGCAAATTGGCTTTTCAAAATACTCCTGTGATTGGCCCAAATTTCTCTCAGCAGGCATCTGCAAAGCAACCTTCCTGTGATACATGGGAGCACACAGCCAGGCAGTGGGACATCAGGGACTGTTCTAAAGGAAAGCTGGATTTATGGTACAAAAGGCCACTTTGGTGACATCACCCACTTCTGGTGTCTCCAAAGCATCACAGGTGCTGGGTATGAACAGGAAGGTGGGACAGGACTGCTTAGACTGCTGCACAAATCAAAGCAATCCCAACAATATTGTCCTTGAGTAAGATGGGCAGGTCTCTAAATTCAGCTTGTGGCAGTCTGTAGGTCTTGAAAGGTTAATTTCCATCTCTGTTCTGTGCACAGCCTGCTGAAATGCCCAGAGCAGAGGCACTCTCACCTCTAATGCCTCAGAGAAGCCCCAGCAGCCACTAGATGTCACCAGGATTTTACTTCCTTGGTAGTCTGTGCCCAGCCAGGACCATAAGAAAAAAAGAGGAAAATAAGAAATCATTAATAATAAAAAATTATCCCCCTGTTACAATGAACACCGAGCTCAGAGAAGGGGAAGAGTGACCCAGAATCCTGCTTTTGTGTCTCCCATCTCTGGGATGAACATGACTTTTGCCTTTTTATGGCAGGAGGATAGTTTGGTATCTTAAAAATCGAGCTGCTCCAACCAGGCATCAGGCTAAACCTTAATGCACTTATAGATGCTCTGTTTAATTATCCAGCCTTTTAATCTGTAAAATTACATCCTCCCTGTTTGGTATTCCTGCCTGGAAAGAAGCAGCTAAGGGAGAGCAGCACCACCAGGGCATTAAAGGGGACAAGGGAAGATTTGGGGATGAGATGGACAAAATGGCTCCACGTACAAACAAAACAGCAAAGCCACTTCTGGGAATTCCTCCATTTCCAAAATGTGTGCAGCCATAAGAAAACAAAGGGCCCCAGCAATCAGTGCAGCAGACACATTTATTTCCATTAACCTGCAGTGTTAATTATTAACCTGAAATCACACCAGTCATAATCCAAGGAATAGAGATTAGATATTGTGCTTGTAACCCCAGGAAAATCCACTTTATCTCTCACCTCACAGGCACAAAATCACATCAAGTCAGCCCCCGGCAGAGGTGGGATTTTGGCAATCCATCACCAGCTCAGTGAGCACTGGAGCCTATTCCAGTGTCCCAAATTCCAAATGTGTGCCAGTTAAAATGCAGGAAACCTCCCCAGATATGTGCTCAAACACAGGATGCACAGAGCAAGGGGTGTGTGCAAACCCTGCCAGGTCCTTCCTGAAGTCTCCCACAGCAGCAGCACAGCCCATCCCAAAGCATAAAAATCCCTCTTTGCTTTTGGTGATTCTCCCCCTCATTGACACCAAGGAGCTGGTGCTAGTTCAGGTGTCTGCCCATCAGACATAAAACTTACAGTCTGACTTCTAAGATATTAAGATACTGAATTGATCAGAATTCTTTTGGGTTTTTTGTGGTTTTTTTGTTTGTTTGTTTGTTTTTTGGGGTTTTTTACAGTCTGACTTCTAAGATATTTAGATACTGAATTGATCAGAATTCTTTTGGTTTTTGGTTTTTGTGGGGGTTTTTTTTTGTGTTTTTTTTTGTTGTTGTTTTGGTTTGGTTTTTTGGGTTTTTTTTGTTTGTTTTTTGGGGTTTTTTTGTTTTGTTTTGTTTTTTTTTTTTTTTTTTTTTTTTTTGGGGTTTTTTTTTTTTTTTTTGTTTGTTTGGTTGGGTTTTTTTTTCTCAAAAACCCTGGTCTTCAACTGCTGGGTTTTTTTACCACAGATATTTTCATAATCCTCCCCCTATGGCCAAATACTAGCAAAGCCATAGCTCCTGCAGGCTCCTCTTTGGCTGGTAGATTCTCAATCCAGCTCATCCTTGTCCTGTTGTTCTGCTTCCTTGGTCCAAGATATTTGTGCAAGTCCATCCCCTCACTTACACCAAAACCAGCAACACTAAAGCTCTTCAGAAGGAGCTGAGGCACTGACCTCAAGGCATAAATTGCTGCAAATAGAGCTCTCTTTCTGAATTCATTCCCTTCAACATTTCCATGGCAGGGTGAAAGTGTCCATGGCCCCATCAGACCCAGATCCACCTCATTTCTCTGCTCAGATCCACAGGTTTATTCCCTGCTACAAGAATTACTGGAGACAATCTGCTGAAAGGATCACTCTGGCCTCCTACAGCACATATTCTTTCAATCTGAAGTCCACTGTCATGCAAGAAAAGCCAAACAAATAATCTTTACAGCTCTATCTGAAGACAGCTTTATGAAATAAGTCCAGGTTTATTTTCATTTTTGCCTCATGACACATGAAATATTTAATACAAAAGAAAATACTCCAGGCTTGGAACTTTGGCCAAAGATGACATGTCCAAAATTACCTCAACTTAGAAATATTACTAACCAGATTGTTAGTCTGAGGCTTGGCTTATGACCACTTCTTCCACCAGAGCTGCTACGCTTGGAATTAATTGCAGTTTTTGTATTGTCTGTAGAAAGAAGGTGACACAGGATATGCATTCTGTGGTGACTTCTTGCACCAATATAAAAGAGCAAAAGTTACTTATTTAATTTCTTTCATGTGAGAATATCTGTAATTTTGTGTCTTTGTACCCTGCTACTGGGTCAATTTTTTCTGATAATAAAACCTATGTAATTCCCAGAAGGACCAGGGCTCACTTCCATAAGGAAGGCAAAGAGAAATGTATCTTTCATGCCACATTTTCCATAATCCTCTTCTCTTGCTTCCCACACCAACCTGCTCAGCATGGAAGAGATCCCCCTGACAGGTGATTCTGTACCCTCTGCCCACTTGTGATAATCCCTCACAGGATCGGAGCCACAAGGTCTCTGCTCAGAAATCAGACACTACTCAAACTCCTCAGATTTTTTTGGTTGGTTGGTTGGTTTTTGTTTTGTGGGTTTGTTTGGATTTTTTGGATTTTGGGTTGGTTTTTTTGTTTGTTTGTTTGGTGGTTTTTTGGTTTTTTTGTTTTGGGGGGGGTTTTTTGTTTGTTTTGGAGTTTTTTTGGTTTTTTGTAGGGTTTTTGTTTGTTTGTTTCTGGTCTTGTTTTGGTTTTGGGTGTTTGAGTTGTTTTTTTTTAAATCAGGAGAGTATATCCATCCAGGGCTACGGTCTCTTAAGAGGTGAAAAAGCCCAGCTCTTTCATTCCTAATGTCTAGAGAGGTGATGGATCCTCCCTGTGTGTTGATCCCCCATTGTGTGAGGTTGGCCACTGTCCCAAGCAGTGACACTTCCAGTGTCCCCAGAAGCCCCAGGAGTCACCTCAGGAGTCTGTGAGCTCTGACCCACAACCAACACTTAAAAAAAATGCAGCTGCAAATGACCCAGATGGGTAATTCTTTCTCTGGTAACTCACCTGGTGTCTCAGTGCCAGGGGCATGATGAGAGCATTTGGAGGCCAAATTTGCCATGACAACCTCAGTCCCTTTACCCAGTGCCCTGCCCCAAACCAAGTGCCAGTGTGAGTGGTGGCTGCCACTGCCATGAATAATGCACTGGAACAATGCATCTTGCCCCTCCTCAGCCCTGACAGTTTAATAACATTTATTTAACTTGTCTTTTTGCATTAAGCCCAACACTTTGGATGCCCTGATGTATTTTATGATACTTCCTTGCCGCTGCGTTTGATGGTCCTGTTTGGGATTCAGCAAATGGCACCCAGGTAATCAATATTCTGTCTGGGTGGACATTTTATTTATCTACAGAGCCACCACATGAATTCATCTGGTTTACTAGAGGTCAAACCCTTTTCATCTCCTCCATGAGCCATGGAAAATTGAAAGATTTAAACCCCCTTTGAATTCCTTTGATTAACTCAGCGAAAATATCACACTCTTTTTTTTTTCAAACTCAGAAGCAGAATTATCTTCACTGTAAATCTACCTCATTTTGACACATTGATCTCTGCATAATGGGTAACATCAAGTGTGGAGGCATAAACTGGGAGCAGAGGAAGAGTTATGAACGGTGCTGTTAGCAATTATTTTCCATACGTACTCAGTTCTTTTGGGCTGGTTTAAAAATACCCAAAAAAGCATAAAATTGATAAGAGCTGTATAATTGGTTGTGGGGGAGCAAGGTTTGGGATCCACTCGTTTGGGAATTGCACCCTTGTGGCACAAAGCCCCCATCCTGAATCAGCAAATGATCCATCAGTGCTCCACACTCACCTCAGCCTCATCCCCCAGCTGGACCAAATCCAATGCCTGCAGTGCCACTGCTTTCATCACACTGCTTAAAGAGGAAGAGAAATTCATTATGTTTCAGGAATTTGGAGGAAAGGAAAAGCTGAAGACCAGATTTCAGCTGCTTCACACCTACCTCATGCAGCTGCACAGCGCCACAGCTTGCAGGGCCAACAGGGACAGGGAAATCCAATGGCTAAACCAGCAGAATAATGAAAATAATGTCCTGGATCTCTCTCATGTGTTTTTCCTGCTGGCATCTCTGATTATTTTATTAACTTTTAACTTTTTAGAGTTAATTTTTTAAGTTTGCTTAACTGATCCAAACCTTTGCACATAGAAGTTGCATAATTTTATATAAAAGCAAGACTTAAACCCCATTTAATTAAACAGGGAAATCCCTATACAGACACACGTATATCAGTTTTAGTGGCTTCTCAGTTATTGCATTTGACCTGGAACTGGTTTAAAAGTAATTAAAATAAGCCACTCTCTCAGTACACTGTGGCTTGCATTCATTTAGCTAAATTATTGTGAAAAGTGGAATCAGATTAAACAAGAGCAAATTCTTCACGTTGGCAGGACTTAATAGCAATTGTTGGTGTGATTTAGCTGCTGCCCATGACCACAGAAACTTCAAATACACTTAATAATTTTATCCTTAGTTTAATCATCTTATCCTTTATGCAAGTGAGGACTGACTTCTTCCAGTACAATCAGCCTGAGCACCTGGGCAAAACATGCATAAGTTTTCCCTGGATAGATTTAAGGGATGCAGAGCTCAGATCATGAGAGTTCCTTCTTATCCTTCCCATTTTAATACATCCACTTTGTTGTAAATTTTTGTTAGCCTGTGTTTCCTCCACTGGTTTAAAGGAATGTCACAAGCACAACTTCTAAAGTCCTGTGAGGATAAACACAGATCTATGTAGCTCCATCTCAGAAATAAATCAGATTGGCTTGAAATTATTTGCTTGCAGAAATCTCTTTAGCAATGTATTTTCCTGTAGTCATTTCTATATTATTCAATAAGACTTTCCAGTGACATGATTGGTGTCAGTGAAAAAAGGAATACATGGGAATAAAAGTCATGCAGGTGAAGCAGAGGAGCCAGGAGCTGAAAAGTGAGGAAATCGTGGTGGATAACCCAGGTGGTTTCAATAGAATTCTTCAGTTCTTCCTTCCTTTCTAAATTAGCAATGCTTTTATGCAATTTGGGTGATTTTTGTCGACCACTGAGATGTGATTTAACCCCTGACAAGGAGGTGGGTGTGTGCACATCCCCAGAACACCATCCCATGGCCCTGCACCTTTGGGCTCATCTCTACTGTCTTCTCATTCAAACTTTATATCTTTTCATGAGACAGCAGTGCTTTTGTCCATGGTTTACAGGAGTTATGTGTTCCCAGGATCTGTCAGGATGTTTGGGTTTGCTCCTGCTCTGCTGGCTGAGCACCCACATCCCACACCAGTGGACATCCAGCCAGACACTTCCTCACAGCCATCATAAACAGTTTCCATCACAAATTACACCCAAGAGAATAAGGGCATGGAATCCTTGCCTCCAGCAGGACAGCAAACTCAGCTCTTGGCTTTGGTGTCACTGTTGTGACCCTGCTGCTCCTGCAAACACCTCTGCTTCACACAGTGGAGATGGGGAGGGGCCTCCCTGGAGTTGAAGACATGAAATGCATTTGTCAACACCACAGCAGTAAGAGGAGGTTGCCAGAAGGTCAAGGGAGAAGTGTCCAAAATCAGGATAAACAGGCTGGCCAGGAGCAGCAATGAGGTCACAGTCATGCAGGACACAGCCCCTGGCTCTCAGGGAATGGCACCACTTCAATGAGCTTTTTAATGTCCTTAAAAAGCTGGAGTGAATGAGTTTCTCTTTCCAACCTACTGCCAGGTAATAACAATTTGTTTGCTATCAACCATCTGACAGAGAGGCAGCAGTGTGCAATACCAGGGCTTTTCCTTCTGTCAGACCCGAGCTGGAGTCAGCGTGCCTCCATCCAACTTGGCCATGACAGTGATGGTGAGGCACTCACAGCAGCCCTGGCCTGAGAGCCGTTTGGCTCTGAAGACCTTCAGCAGTGTCCCTGGCACCTGATTTCCTGCAGCTGGGCCAGGATGACTGGCTGGCAGTCAAAGAGGGGGAAAGCAAGAGAGGATTGAAGCAACTTGTGGGTGGTGATAAGTCTCATCTCAGCAAGCAGAACAAGGTGACCTTCCTCTGAGCAGCCTGAATCACGTTCTGGCAATGTTTAGGGGTTGATTTTTTTTATTTTTTTTTTAAGAGATTATCCTTTACCATGTTGAAATACTTTTCCACTGAACTTTTAAAAACCTTTCCTGGTGACCTGACTCACAGCTCCATGAATCATCAGATGTTCAATCAATCAATCAATCAGTCAATCAATCAGTCAATCATCGACTTTTGTTTTTTGTAAAATAGCTATTGCTGTTCTATGTTATTAGTTTCTTGGCACCTTATACTAGAATTTCATCAAAGCAAAATGCTGATGCAATTAGCAAAGGATATCAATATATGCAGCAATTCACATTATCCCTTAAAGCTTCATTAGCCTCAGAAGCTCAGGCACTGGAGGGGAAATTTGGGGAAGTGCTCTGTTACCTTCTGCAGCTCAGCCCATCTGCAGTGCCCCCACTTTGGGCTGCCCTTTGAGCTGGGAAAGGGAGATTTGGCAGCACCCAGCTCCTCAGCACAGGGACTGCACTGCCTCCATCTCCCCTGCTCAGCCCGAGCACCCACTCACCCTTCTGGCACGAGTTATTGTCAGAGCTCTCGTGTGGGACTGAACGTGTTTCAACAGAGTCAGAGCAGCCTGGGGCATTATTTGCAGGAAAAAAAGAAAACAAACTAAAATTCATCTTTCCTGTCCCAGAGACAGTCGGGAGCTGCTGCTGATGGGGGATGTTCTCCTTCTGTGCCAGTGTGCCCTGACCAACTCCTGCTTCTCCTCTTGCTCCCTACAATCCTCCTGAGGTCAACAAGGCAAAATTTCCCCATTATTTCACAGAAAAGCCACAGCTGCTGGTGGGATGGAAACCTCACTCAGCAGCCCTTTTGCTGGGAAGGTAATTTGGTCTTTAAAACTCTGAACACAGCCACCTCTTTATACCTGTGTCACTGCACTTACCAGTAAATATTTGATGTCTGGGGTATTGGTGTAGTTTTGTTTTTTTCTCTTTCAGCTGAATAACTTTAATAATGTTGATCCATGTTGTTGTCTGTCTCTCTGCAATTTCTGAATGCAAGCCTTGCCCTTGACTGCACAGCACAATGAAAGCCTCCAGGTCACAGCTTTCAAAACACTTGATATTGTTTTTTTCTTTATGGAAAAACTAAATAATATTAACCTCTCTTTCAGTGTAGAGGAAAGCATAAAAAGGAAAGGCTTTCAGAGGCATGTCAAAAAGACTTGTATTGGGCTGGGAGGATTTTAAACCCATTGACTTATTTGCACAGCTTGACACAAAAATTAACTCATCTCCCAATTAGCTGAATAATTGAAGTGCATCATCAGATTTCCAGTCACATCGAGGAGACAGATTTACTGGAGAAGCCAGGTGAAACAATATTTTGCTTTTGCCTCCACATCCCAGCTGGAGCTGGCTTGTACAAAAGACAGGTACTGCCACAGTGCTGTACCTGGAGGTGAAGGCTCAGGCTGCTCCTAGACAAGCAAAAATTAAATGGTCTGCATGTTCCTACATGCAGATATTTGGTTTATCCCACTCTAAAACCATTCTGGTACAAATCCTACCTCTTATTATTCTTAATTATTCTCTTTAACGTCCTAATTTTCAAACTTCTAGCAAGTTTGCAAGACAAAGGAGGTTAAAAAAAATTAAAGCACAAGTAATTGTGCTATTGTACTTGTCTACAGTGACATACATTATTGTCTTTTTAAATTTTTTAGCAGCTTGGAAAACAGCAGGAGTTAGCAGAGGATTTTCTAAGTGAACTAGTCCATTTAAATTAACTGCACTACCCAGCTTCCTTCTGGCTCCATGCTTGCAAACAGCAAATCTGACTGCTAAAAAGCAGCATTGCTGCTGAGCTGGAGGTGAGAACAGTCTGGTGGTGGGGACATTAGATGGGATTTGGGGAGAGACACCCGGTTCCACCTTCCATGAGAGGAAGATGAGTGAGCTCAGGGATGTCAGCTGCAGACACATTTTTAGAGGCAGCCACTTGCCTGCAGCCACGGGACTCTTGGGCAGGAACTCCTGGGCCTCTGGCTGTGCTGAAGTGCTGAATTGCAGGCTCCCAAGTCACATTGATATCAAACCTTTGGCAGGCACAGACCTTCTAAATAATTGGATCTTGAATTTAATTAGAGGACAGCTTCAGAAGATCAGGTGCCAAGAGCCCAGAGTGTCCCAGTGCAAACAGGGCACCTCAGGAAGCCTCAGTATCTGTGGCAGCTCCTGGGAAGTCCCAGAAAGGAAACAAATCCCACACCTGACACCTTGCAAGGGAAACACTGGAGCTGATATTCACTTTTCTGAATCTCACATTCAGGATAGGAGACACAGCTGGGCTCTGACAGCACTTCTGGGAGCTCTCCTGGGTCTGTTTTTTCTAAGAAGGTGTTTGAGGAGTGTCTATTGACACCCAAAATTTACACCCCTGATCCAGCTGAGGGTCTCTGCATGAGACAAAGCAAAGATGACTTTGCTCTGAAATCCAAAACACTTCCTCACACCAGTGGCTAAGCAGGAACTGCTCTGACAGGATTATCTCAGTGCTCTCTTTAGCTTTCCCTCCACCCAGCCCATCTGATCCATGGCAGGATCATGCACAGCTGGGCACAGGAAGGCTGAGCCCCTCCTGCTGCCATGGGCAGGCCCTTCAGGAGGAGTTAACTCCTTAACTTAAGGAATCCCATGGGATTCCTCAGCCCACAGATGGCCAACAGCCCTCAGTGATCATTGTCACATCCATCCACCACTGCTGGCCAGCCACAGCCTCGCCTCTCCGGGGCCAAGGAGTGTTTCTGCAGGACAAAGAGCACCAAAGAGGCGCTGCAAGGGTGAAGCCATGCTCCAAGTTCCAGCCTTGCTGCTTTCTCAGCTGTAGCTCCATGACAGATGGCAGATTGTGACACAGCTACAGCAACTCCTGTTTAACTGCAGATCAGCTTTCCCTCCTGGCTTCATAAACTCCATCACTGCACAAGCCCCTGGTGGCAGCTGCTGGGAAATCATGGAATAGTCAGAAGCTGCCATTCATATTTCTCTGAACCTCTGCAGAATTGATAAAAATTGTATTTCTGGATGAGATTTAAAAGAATAAAACTCATCTAATTAAGAAGCGCAGCCAGGCAGTCACATAGATTAAGAAGAAGAAAAAGAAGTTTCAAGGTGAAAAATTGAATCTGCCTAGATGGACCCAAGAGAGGAGTGTAAGGGCTCTGGAGAGAGAGGTGCACTTTAATTAATGCTGTCTGGTGGGAACCTCTACCAGATACAGCCTGAGGGGCATCAGGAGCATAAAGAAAGAAACAGACCCCACTGTCAGGAAAGGATGGGTGAGAAGGAGACAGTTCTCTCCAGTTTAGTTTTAGTGCAGTAAGCTGAGACAGTTTTTCTCATTTCTTCATGTTTCATTTTGGTTTTGTTTAATTCCTTCCTGTGTTACTGATTCAGACATTACAAAAAATACCTAACTTCTGGTAAGGGGCTGATGGGCTTCAAACTTTCCCTGCTTTCCAAAATTCGTCATAGATGACCACAAGAAAAGACTGCTGGTGTTGGGGCTTGGCCTCCTCCCCTTGAATTGCTTTTTGCTTAGGATAAAAAAGTTGGGAGCCCTGGCAAGGCCCTGGACAGCCAGCTGAATCTGCAGCAAACTGCAATGCTTCCCATGCCTGGGAAGATTTCACAATTTCTTCTTAATTATGCATGAAATATGATTTCATTTGTAAATTCAAACCCTATATTTTTCCCCCCTTGGCTTTTGCTGTTTACAAGGATCTAGATTTTAATGAGAACATCCTGTGAATCTCACTCTTAATATTCTTGGCAGTAAGCATTTGCTCAGGATGAGATTATCAGATTCCTCAGTTTAGTGCATTTAGCTGAAGAAGGGGACACTGTGTGTCTGCAAGGAGCTGAAATGGTTGGCACTTCTCTTTCCTCAACCTGGGAGGAAATTTTGCAGTTAGTTGCTGTTCAAAGTAATTAAGGCTCTAGGCTGGGACAGTGTGTACTGTGCTCTTCATTACAAACCACCTCCTTGGTACATTCAGATTGGTTCCCACTGTTTTTATCACTAGGTTTACATTCATGGAGCACACAAACATCATTTTTTTTACAAGAAAATGCAGCCCAGACTTGTTCATTGCAAACAGTGAGAATTACCTGCTGCAGGTCCATCACTGCAACAACAGCAACTGGCCACGTGCTCAGTCCAAAAATGTATGTGAGGTGTTTTTATAAAAGCAGCAAAAACTTTCTGCAAAGCTGCCAGATCCAGAGTCCTGCCTCTGTTCTCTAGAGCTGTAAGGTCACTGCACCAGTAAGAACCAGTCTGGGCTGGGTGCAGTGCAGTGCTGCCAAGAGGAGCCTTTGGTACCCCCCTGCCTCCGTGTGCTCAGCACTCCTGACACCTCTGGGTTTGGTGGGAGATGTCCCGCAGCCAACTCCAAATTTCCTGTGCCTGGCACTCAGGATGCCTCATTACCTGCTCCTGCTGGCACCTCACATCACACCATTGCCTTGCTTCTCATCATTTTCACCTCTGTCATGCAGACACAGGCGCTGTTCCACCTGTCCCTCTTGGCAGCGCACATCAAAACGACACATCCTGCAAACCCCCCTCTCAGCAGAGGCTGCTCAGCCATGGAAATCCCTGCTTCCCTTCACATTCTCCAGCTGGTACCTCCACTCCACTCCAGCCTGATTTTCCTCTTCATCTCCCACAGAAAACAGCTAAATCATCTGCTTGTCTCCCTGTTAAATCTTCCAACAGTTGCATTGTTGGAGTTAAGGAGACCACAGCAGAGGAGGTGTGTTTGCTGGGGAAAACTGGCACGATTTTAGAAATTCTTAGGATTATTTTGTTTCAGTATGTTGCATCATTCCTCACAGCCCAAAGCATCTCTGTGGGTGAGAGGATTTATTGCTCAAATTCAGGTGTAAATATGCTGTAAATATTTAGCAAAGCGTAGTCAATGGTCTTGTTTATATGCTGGCAGACAGACACAGCCTCTGACTGCTGCCCCAGCAGTTCTTGGGGTGGTTGCAGCTGAGCAGGCAGCAGCATGTTCTGCTGCCTGGATTTTGGGGAAAGGGGGATTTTACCAATGAATGCCACCCCCAGGTCCCTGGTGCCAGCAACCTTCCTCCAAATATTGCACACAAGAGACAGGCTGTGCCCCAGCAACACCTTCTTTTACTGCTTGTCCCAAGTCACAGTGAAGCTGCTGAGTAAATCAGGCCAAGGGGAAGGAGCAGCTCCAGTTAGCTGAGGTTGGAAATGACTAGAAAGCTGCTCATGGGGAAGATCAGTGAGAAGCTCTGCTGCCTGGAATAAATTGGATTGTCAAAGTCACCCTCGACACGGGCAGAGAGCAACCAGCTTAATGGCACGGAGGGGTCACTGGTATCCTTCTTCCCAGAAGATACCAGTGATATTTGGCACAGAGAAATTCTGTGATGCTGAAACAGCTTGTGAGACAACCCATGGGGAATCCCAGCTCATTAGTGTAAAAATTAAGACACTTAAATGCTTTGGTATTGAAAAACGAATTACTGCACCAGGAATTTGTTAGACGTAGAAACATCCACTAAGAACCAGGAACAACCCAAGCTACAACAGGGCTTCAAAAGGTGAAGGAAACCAAGCCTGAAGAGCTTCCAGCTCTCTGTGGAAGCATTTCCTTTATGTGCAGGGCATCCTGCAAGAGCAGCGTGGGATGCTGCCCTGGCCATCCTGCAGGCTTTACTGCTGCTCTGGCAGCATTCCTGCCAAGCTGTACGTGTGCCAGGAGCAAGCTAATGGATGCAAAATAACTGCCCATTCCCCAGGGGAGAGCCAGCATTTGTCTCCATTCCCAGTGACCCCACTCCCAGCAATGAATTCTCTCAG